TCAAAACTACTGCACACCAGTATATGTCGGTAGATCTCAACCTGGTTCCAATGGATGCTATCCCTAAATGTTTGCTGTTGTACAGTTGTTAACACTCTCAGTTTCGAGTCTCAAGGTCTAAGATCCAACCTATTCTAGGACTTGAGTAGAACAGTAAAGACTGATCATCTTGTGCTGAGGGATTGTGCTGCATCATCAGTGGTACATCTTTTGGATGAGATGTTAAACTGAGGCCTCAAGATCCTATGGCAGTATTTTAAAGACACGCAGGGGAAATTATCTTTAGTGTCTTTACCAATATTTGTCAATACCACCAGAGAATCAGGATATATCTAGTCATTATCAGGGTGCTATTTGTGAGATTTAACAGCTGGGTTTCATTTAACACTTTGAAAGTACTTCCTTGGCTTTAAAGTGTTTTGAGACATGTTGTGTAAATTCGGGTCCTTTTGCCTTTTCATAACAGTCCCTTAATCTGGTACTGTTCTGAATCAGATTTAAGCCTTTACCTTCAATAAAATTCTTCACAGTTTTCTCAATTTGTAGTTGGTACTGTTGAACTTAGCAAGAAATGGTGTAGAAAATAGAGTAGTTTCTTGTACATTGATATAAATACAACAGCTAAAACTAGTTAATATGGTATACAGTTAACACAAAGTAATCCCAAATCAATTATTGGGTAAAGCATAATCACCGTTTACAGTTCAAAAGACAAACTTTAGGGGTCTATTTAACTTTCATCAAGAATTGTGTTCAGGCATGTTTTCAGTAGCTGGGGTTGGAATGTATAATTTGTTCTTGCAGCAGTTGTTGCCTAGTAACAATAGTTGTTGACAGTTCTTTGGTAGGGGTGGGGGGAGGTGGGGTGGTTTGTGGGAGGGAGAGGAGGGGAAAATGATCTATTCTCAACTAGTCAAACAGGTGTCCACTGGATGAAAGAACAAATAGTATATTTTCTGAAACATTTGCCTGGTTTTGGTTGTAAGTATTCTGTAGTAGTATGAGGGTGAGTTGGGCATATTGGAATTAGCAGCACATTTAAGTAGTGTATGGCTTCTATGCTCACTTTATTCGTTGGTGACTCAATTCCAAATGTTACCAACTTAATTTGGTTTCTCAGAAATAATGTCCAGCATTTCAAATTTTTATACCACAAATAAATATGCTGCTTAGTTTCTGTTTTATTGTCTCCTGGTTTTGCAAAATGGCGAAGGGATACAACTCAAATACTAAATCAGTCATCTCACTCATTGCTGTTTGTGGGAGCTTCTTGTGCACAACATGATTGCCAGAATTGCAAAATAGTAACCGGATGCATTTCAAAATCAATGCATTGTGTGTGTTGGAATTTAGCTAAAACTGAGAAATTTGATGAGACAGTATAAAAATCTACACCTTTAGTCATTCAAGAGCAAATGCGAAAAATAAAAATATGCAAAACGAAAGAATCAATAATACTAACCTTATTCTCCAATATGTTTTGAAAATGCATCTTTTATCCACGTTGTGAGACTCTTGCAAAACTTAACAACTGGACTGGAGCAGCATTGTTAGAGCATTTGCAGAAGATTCTGGGTTAGCATTTCAATGGTTATGTTGATGCAATCGACAGGAAAATATAGAACCGATCCAACAAAAAGGGACAGAAAATTTAACCTGTAATCCTGGCCATGTTCTTACATTCATCAAAGGTGAAGAATCCTGACTAATCCCTAGCCAGCGTTGAACTAAACATTCACAGTCAGATCTGTGGTGGGATCAAATGGATTGTGATCACCAGGAAAGACCATCTAAGCCATCAAACCTCCCTCACAGAACAGTGATGCCTTTTGCATCACAATATATGCGCACACACCCACCTGAAAGCCATATGATGATCTGGGTGAGGTAAAAAAATCCACTAAAAGTTTCAGCTATCTTGAGAAAATTAAAGTTTGGAATTTCTTCTCCAACTCTATTAAGTGATTGAGTCTAATTCAGGAGATCACTCTCATCCTGATTAATGTCATACAGTACCTACCTTTCACACAAGACAATCTCTGCTACACCCTGCATTACACCCAGCTCACGCTTGAAAGAATTCAGTGTATCAAAGTCCGTCACTTGAACCTGTTGCCTTTTACTAAAGATGCACTGAGTTAAGAAGTACCTCCTGAAGTCTAGCCTTATGGAGATTGAGCTGTGACCCCCCGGTCACCTCTATTCAATTGAGTTGAAACAAGCGTCCTACTTGTACACAATCTATTCCCTTTATCATCTGTTAAATCTCAATCAATCACTCCTACATCAGTGCTTCTGTAGAGCATAGGGCCTATCTCTTCTGGCCTATCTCTTCTAGCCTATCTTGATAACTAAAGTGGTTCAAACTGGAAATTAATTTACTGGACCTCCTTTGCACCTTTCCTAAAGCTTCAGTATCAGCCATCACATGAAAACTAAAACTGGGCATTATTCTAATTGAAATGTAACTATGTAAATGTAGTATGCTTTGTCTTATAGGCAATTTTCCCCAACACTTTATTCATTCTAGTTTTCACTCTACTTTTCCCAGGAGAACATGTGGCTTGATTGAGAGGAAATTGTATATATTGAATTGTGAATTAGAATGCCTTGATCTGTTTTCTTCATTAACTTTCACATTTCTCCTTGAAACATGTACAAGTGATCAGCATTCATTCTGCTCACAAATGTAGCAGTTCACTTTTCAAAGCTAAATATAATTGCCAACCACGTATCAAATGTCCATCATTGCTAGATCCATTTAGAATTTGAACATTGTTTACAGTTCTGACACTCCCACAAATCTAAATAGCATCTGCAAACAAGCAGATGTTCCATATTCGTCTAGATCATTAATAAAAATAATAAAGAGCAACATTCCCAACAATTAAGCCTCTGGAACACCTCTGCTAACCAGTCTCCAAAAGGATCCAAATTTATCTCTACCTACTGCTTTCAACCTATCAGCCAGTTCTCAATCCAGCTCAACATATTGTGACGACTATCAGAAAATTCAATTCTGTAGAAAAACCTCTTCTGTAGAATGGGGTTGAAAACATTTTAGAAACTGAAGTAGGCTGAAGTCATGAAATCAAAACGGAAAATGGTGGAAATACTCGACAGGTTATGGTAGCATCAGTGGAGAGGAGCAGTGACTATTTCAAGTCTGTGACCTTTCATCTGAACTGATGCAAGTGTGAGAGTTGAAGCGGTAACTCTGTTTCTCTTTGCACAGATGCAGCCAGAACCTGCTGAGTATTTCCACCATTTTCTGTTTTGATTTTAGATTTTGGTCATCTGCAGCGGGTTACTTTTTGATTAAGTTGAAGTTCCATCAGCTGTCCTTAATATGTCATTTGGTTTGCCCAAGCAGCTTCCTTTATCATTTATATCAAACTAATCAGTCAATAGTTTTTTTGATCTGTCTATTTCCTTGTTTCAGTATAAAGAAACTTATACACTGTTCAGTAAGCTAGCAAAGATAAAAACTGAAAGAACTGTGGATGCTGTAAATCGGGAACAAAAACAAAATTGCTGGAAAAGCTCAGCAGGTCTGGCGGCATTTTTGAAGATAAAATCAAAGTTAACGTTTCGGGTCCAGTGACCCTTCCTCGGAACTGATGGTAGCTAGGAAAATGTCGGCTTTTATGCAGAAAATAGGGTGGGGGGAGGGGATCAGGAGTAAATGATAGATGGAGAAGAGCCCAAAGAGAAGAACAGTTGGACAGGCAAAGGAATGGATAATGATCTGGCTAGAAGAGTGAATAGCTGTTAATGGAGACTGTTAGTGGCTAACAGCAGGTAGTGTGTAATGGCAGACTGTGAAAACAAGGCCTGGTGTGTGGGTAGGGACATGAGAGAGTTCAGACCCTAAAATTATTGATATGGAGTCTGGAGGGCTGCAGGGTCCCCAAGCGGAAAATGAGGTGGTGTTCATCCAGTTTATGCTGAGCTTTGCTGAAACACTGCAGAAAGCCTGAGACAGAGATGTTGGCCAGTCAACATTCAGTACAGGATGTTAGAGCCAAAATGCACTGTATTATAAAGTGGTAGGATGTGATTTTCTGCAAGATTAGTTACTTATCTGCTCTATGCCATTGTGGGGAGGTGCCATTCAAAAGCCAGATACCCGCTCAAGGAACACAAGAGTCCATTTGAATCACTGTCCTATCAAGTCACAACAGCTAATTTCATCTTTGCTTTGGAACAGACAAGGGTGGCAGAAGGAGACCTGAAAAAATTGAGGGAGAAAATGCTTTTTAAAAAGGGTGTCAGCTTAAAAGAAAGATGCCAGTTGCTGACACCCCTTTTTTAAAAGTAGTGAAATCTTTGATTGAAATCAAAGTAAAGCACGTTGAAAATCATAAAAACACCAACACAGGTTTATAAAATCATGAGGGGCATGGATAGGTGAATAGTCAAGGTCTTTTTCCCAGGGTAGCAGAGTCCAAAACTAGAGGGCATAGGTTTAAGGTGAGAGGGGAAAGGTATAAAAGGGACCTAATGGGGCAACTTTTTCATGTAGAGGGTGGTGCATGTATGGAATGAGCTACCAGAGGAAGTGGTGCAGGCTGGTACAATTATACCATTTAAAAGGTATGTGGATGGATATATGAATAGGCAGGGTTTAGAGGGATATGGGCCAGATGCTGACAAATGGGACTAGATGAATTTAGGATATCTGGTCAGCATGGATGTGTTGGACTGAAGGGTCTGTTTCCATGCTGTACAACACTATGACTCTGTGGGGGATAAAAAGTGTAAATTGGGGAAGAGAAAATATATGTGAAACAAAGTATCGACATTTTTAAGTTATAAAGAATCAGCTTTATATTGCACATGCTGAGAAAGGATGGAAGTAAGCAGTCAGAATTTATCACTGTACCAATGGTGTCAGTAGACATTATTAAAAAAAATGAAATGAATACCAATGCACTAATTGAATTTTTTTATTGCACTAAATATATCAAATGTTGAATGTTGTTTTTCTTGCTTGACAGTCATTGCAGTGAACATAACTGGAGCTAACCCCCACGTGTTCCTGGAAAAAGTTCTGTCTTCTCACTGGGGGATGAAACTGCAGACAAACAGGTTGATACCGAAAATTTAAAAACACAAGCACAGGAAGAAAACAAACAAGAAACATCAGAAAAAGGATTGTAGAGAACCCATCACAGTACCGTGTGATTCTAATATGGCAATTTCTCTAAGTTCCCAGAATGAACCATTAACAATGAAATCCAAGAGCACAAAACAACGAGAGAATGAACTGAAAGCAATAAGAGACATGGAAAGAGTCAAAACACGTGTCCCTGTTTCCAGAGCTGCTGCATATGTGAGCCTCAGTAAAGATACTCAACATGTGCCATGCAAAGAAATAGTTCACCTGGTAGATAACACAAGGGCTGACTGCAGTCAGACAAATGACAGCACTGGAGCTCAAAAGAACACTTGGTCAGTTGTGGACTCCGACAGAGGTGCAAAAATCAAGAAGGTGAAAATGCCAGAAGAACAGAAAGAGGAAACAGGCACTGGATCAAGCAGTAGATGTTGTGGGTCATCTGGTGACAATGTCTTCAGCATCTGAGACAAACAATTCAGGTGTGCATTCTTTAGATTTACACGTCTTATTTTTAGCATTATTCCTTGCCTTTGTCCTTGAGTTCCTTCACTGTAGGAGGGCAAGACACAAACTGCAGTGTATTTAGCAGCATAGATAAGGGATATGTTTAGAACTTGTTTATACCAGCAATGTTTTAAATGTGCTAATTTTAAGTCTGTTTATATTTTTACCATCATATAAAAATTGAAACCTCCAAAAAATCTTTCAATCCTCTGTCCTTCTGGCTTTAATCTCTTGGTCATTCTTCCTCCCACATTGTTCCACCATTGTTCCACTTTGTCTTCGGCCATTTAAGTCGCACTTTGATAGTTTCTATTATCATCTGTCTGTCCACTTCCTTTAAGACACTCATCTTTCCCAAGCCTTAGTTGTTCTGTCCAAATCTCTTTTAGGGTTGAGCATCTGTTGTCCTTGGGAGGTGCCTTGGGTGATTTCGCTATGTTAAAGGCAAATGCAAATGTTAAGTGTGAGCTGCTTTATTCATGGAATCCTACTCTATTAAGCATAATGGAAATATGAGCTGCAGAATTGGATTGCTTAGCATGTAGTTCCAGAGCTTCAGGTACTGTCTTGATTACTAAAATCCAGCCTGCACTTTCACTGAGCTGCACACCAAGCAACTTTTCACTGAGGAAGTTAACACAGGAATTGGAAGAGTACACAGTAAGCATATAGTGTAGGCAGTTGTGATTCCAGTCAGAATGTAATTCTGATCAGGCGCCAACACTGTGATTTTGAACCTCAACTTTCTACTAAAACCCACTTTTAACCTTGCACCTTAAAGTGGCTGGCTGATGGCAAGTGTTTGCTGGCTTGAGGATCCAGCTCTGCATCCCAACTATACTTGACTAGAATCCATATAAAGAGAGCCACGTGGCCTTGAGAAGCATCAGTCGTTTGAAGTAACTGTCCTGTTGTTGTAAACATGATAGAGGGACACTATAGTACTCAGGGAGCAGGTGTTCAGATTCTTGCATGATGGACACCCCCCCCACACCAGCCCTATTTGTAGGGTTCAGGCTGAGTTGACCCAGTGACTATGAAGGAACAGTGATATTGTAATACAGTAATCAGATGGTGTGTTGCTTGGAGAGCATCTCGAAAAAGGTGACGTTAATTGTATCTGATGCCCTGGTCCTCTGAGTTGGTAGAAGTTGTGATTTACAAGGTGTTATCAGAGGAGTTTTGATTAGCGACTGAAGTGCATCTTTAAAACAGTACACACTGCTGCAACTGGGCATTGGTGTTTTAGGGAATGAATGTTGAAGGTGGTCGACATGATGCCATTGAAGCAGTCTGTTTTGTCCTGAATAACATCAAGTTTATTGAACGTTGTTGGAGATGCACTCATGCAGACACATGGAGAGTATTCTATCACTTGTAAATGGTTTTCAGGCATTGAGGAGATAGCAGATGAGTTATTTGCCACAGAATTCCTAGCTTCTGGCCTGCTCTTATTGCCATAGTAATTGTATAAGACTAAGACCATACAAAGTGGGAACAGGAATAGGCCTTTTGGCCCCTCAAACGTGCTCCGGCATTCAGTAGGATTGTGGCTGATCTGACATTCCTGATTTCCACTTTGCTGCACCTTCTCAATAACCCTAGATTTCCCTAGTGATCCAGAATTTATATATCTCAACCTTAAATATGCACAAAGATTCTGTCCCCACAGCTCTCTGTGGCAAGGAGATCCAAAGACACTCAACCCTCTGAGAGAAGAAATTGCTCCTCATCTCAGTCTTAAATTGGCACCCCTTTATTCTGAGATGATGCCCTCTGGTCCTAGACTCTGCCCTGAGGAGAAACATCCTCTCAGCATTTATCCTGTAAAGCCTCTTAAGAATCCTATATGCTTCAATGAGATCAGCTCTGTAGTGAGTAGAGTCCCAACCTGTTTAACTTTTGCTCATAAGACAAGCTGTCCATATCAGGGACCACCTTGGTGAGACTGAACGACCTCCAAATAAAATGACATATTTTCTTAAAAAGGGGACCAATATAACTGATCCAGTGAGGAGGATTGCCAGAGGGATACAGCAGGATATGAATAGGCCGGAGACTTGGGCAGAGAAACAAGCAGATGGATTTTAATCCAACTAATGTGCGGTGATGCATTTTGGAAGATCTAATACAGGAGGGACATATACAGTAGCATCAATGTACAAGAGGGATCTAGATGTACAGGTCCACAGTTCCCTGAAAGTGGTGACACAAGTGGTTAAGGTGGCCAAGAAGGCATAAGGCATGCTTTGTCTTCATCAGTTGTGGCATAGAGTTTCTGGTCAATGTGGATATTGCAATGTTGATATTGCCAGCTTCGGTAATGGTAATGCTATTGAATGTCAAGGGACGATAGTTGGATTCTTTCCTCGTCATTGTCTTGCACTTGTGTGGCATGAATGTTACTTGCCATTTATCAGCCCAGGCCTGGATATTGTCCAGATTCTGCTGCAAATGAACACAGCCTACTTCATAATCTGTGGAGGCCCGAATGGTGCTGAACATTGTGCAATCATGAGTGAATATCCCTATTTCTGACGTTATGATGGAGAGAAGGCAATTGTTGAATCAATTGAAGGTGTTTGGACCTAGGACACTACCCTGAAGAATTCCTGCAGGGATGTCCTGGAGTTGAGATAGTTGACCTCCAACAACCACAACCATCTTCCTTGGTGCTTTGATGTAATATTCTATTGAACACTGCCTTGACATCAAGGGTAGTCACTCTCACCTTACCTCTGGAGTTCAGCTCTTTTGTCCATAGAAGTGCTGGATTTTTTGAGGAATTGCACACTGTTGGTGAGGTCTGCAAGAAACTGTGCTGTACATGGGGAGGGCCTTGGTTATGATTTCAAGGCTTCTGGCACATCGCTTGTTCCCAATTAGGGCTGCTATAGTTGCAGTTCCTCTTGTTCTACATTACATCCAAGTCGTTAACATACATAATAAACAGCAAGGGTCCCAGCAAGTGTCAGTGAATGCATTGTATCATGACTGAGCGATGTGACTGTCAAGAATGAATATACAGTGTCAAGAATGAATAAACAGTGTTTATGAGCTGAGGAGTTGCGTATGTTTGATTTGCAGCACCACCAAGCAGGTGAGAGTGAGGCTCAGCTATAAATGCTTGTTAGGGAATCTTGGTAGCTGAGTGATGGGGTTATATTGATGAGTGTCTGAGGTTAGTATCTAAGTTGTAAGGATATGGGATTTGAAGATGAATTCACTGACTTCGGACACTCGTGTGCTGTCTTGATGCTGCATTCATGTCCTCAGAGCGACACTGTTGAGTTGAACCTCATGTCTAAGACTCTCATTCTGTTCTGAGTGCCTGTTAGCAAAACCACTGGTCCAATATTTGCTGCAATCAGGATGCATCTCTATCTTAAGAGGTAAGGGCTGAATTTAAGGCTTTAAGTAGTGCAGTTTGGCTTTAAAATAGTGCTCACATGTGTTTGGGTTCCCTAGGTATGCAGGCACTCAGCAGAACATTTAGCACTGGGCTTTCAGACAGTAAATTAAAAATGAATGTGAACAATTTCATTCAAGCTTCCAGTAACTGTTATTTCCAGCAAAAAATGTTCCATAACTAAGGGCTAAATTGGCAGCCTTCAGACCATAATGATTCGTGGCGTGTGCTATTTTAGTTTTCATAGAAATTGCTGAGGTACTGCAGAAGGTGCTTCAGCCTATAACAATACAATTCTTTGAGTTGTGGGACCAATATCTGCTATAGGCTGAAGTTACTGAATATCCTGATCAATTTAATCACTTCCTAACCTGGGAAAACTGAAGCTAACTGCAGCTATCAATTTCAACTCTTTCTGAGCATTAAATGCAGGCAGTGTGTAAGGCTGGAAACTTTAGGAGGATACAGTGTGTGCACTTGTTCACTTTGTAATCTCCCGGAGAGTTAAAAACGAGTACTGTTCCTGCTTCAACTTGCTTGAATGCTCCAGGAATTAAATGCTGCAGGAATTCTTCAACTAGTGTTGTGAGATCTTGATTTCTGATCTCTAAAATCTTTTGCAAGGATTCCTGCCCACAGCAACATTCCATCCCTTTGAATGGCTCAACAGGCAGGAGTTGAGGAGCTTCACTGACAAAAAACTTGTGATTATGTTATGATTTTCATGACCACTGGATGTCTCAAAGCCTTTACAGCTGACAGAGTACTTTTGAGCTGTAGTAATGTAGGTAGTGAGGTGGTATGAGTTGGGGGTGGTCCGTGGGGAGGTGAGATGGAGGTGGTAAGGATCATTTGAATGCCATTGAGAATTGTGAGAAAATGGTATGTACATGAATTGAAAGAACTGCCAATGTAAGGTTTGGGAAGAGTTGTGGGGATAAGTTACCAGAGGATGTTTATGTTGTGAACTGTAGAGAAGAAATGAAAATCAATGGCCATTTAAGTTGGGTAGAGTTGTAGAGGGCCTCAGTAAAACCACCTTTGGAGTACTTTCTACAGTTTTGTTCTCCTTTCTTACGTAATTACGTTAGGAGCAGTTCTGAGGATGTTTGGTTAACTGATTCCTGAAATGAAGGAGTTAGCGTATGAGGAAAGGTTGAACAGAATGGAACAATACACATTAGAGTGTAGAAGAATGAGAGATGATTTGGTTAAAACTTAGAAGAAAATATCTGAAATTTCAACTAACAGCCATGTTGGACATGAAAAAATTAACTCGGTTTTTCTCCCCACAGATGCTGCCAGACATGTTGAACTTTTTCAGCACTATCTGTTTTTATTTTTGAGGGGATTTGACTAGATGGATCTTAGACAATGTTTTGCTTTATTCTTAGAACAAAGAATGAGAGTTTAAGAATTAGGAATCCTCAGTTTGAGACTGAGATGAGGAGGGTGTTTTTAATCTTCTGAGAGTCGTCATTTGTTGAAATTCCCTTCCCCAGGGAGCAGTAAAGACTGGCTCATTGAATATATTCAGGGCTAAGTTAGATTTTTGATTAACAGATG